CTGGAGATACACGGCCTTACCTTACCTTAACTGTGCAGCCCAAGACCAGGTCATCCCCCCCTACCCCACAGCTCCAGTCAGGGCAAGCAGACGTTCCCTTGACTGGTGGCAACTGCTTTGTACCTGCACACGTACAGGGCAGTGCAGCCAGTAATGCAAGGCAGCCATGTGGCAGCGAACCCTGCTCCCCCCTGCTATGCTCTTTTGCTGCACGTCTATCAGAAACCGCTGCCACCGCCAGCTGTGTGGATACCCTCGGGGACAGCACAGGGGACTTTAATAGCACGGGGCTCCAGACCAAGTTCTGCATCCAAAATAAACCGCCCAAACTCTGCCCCAGGCTGGTTTGAGAAGCACACACCTATTCCCCTGATCACTGGCCCTGCCGTCAGCTCTGACTGCCCCTCAGGGCACCACATTTCATCACTGATTTCATCACTGCTACCTAGCTTGTGTCCTTATGACAAGGCCCTGGGGTTAGCGCAGGCCCTCCACATGAAGCTGTGATAGTGCAGGCACAACTGACATGGACTGGTTGTCTCTGTGTGACCCGGATCACAGGTTCCTTCCAAACACACCTGCCAGTCAGCACCCAACGCTGCCCTGCTCCCAACGGGGCCAGATGAGATGCTTTGAAGACACTACGAAGAGCCATCTGAGAGCATCCAATACTCCTACAGCACCCTAGGCACTAGCTCAGCGTGACAGAGCTAAGTGGGGAGTAACAACAAAACGAGGACACACCGTTAAGAAAACCACGTCTTTTGCGGTGCTGGAAACAAATGCGTGGGTAGCCAAAACCCAGAGAGACTCTTCGTCAAAAGCAACCCAGCCTGAGCCTCCCAGGAGAGGCAGGAGCTGTGCTGTGCCCTCGCTGTGTGAGTCGCGTGGGGGCCCATTCATCACCACAGCAAAACCCAGTGAAGTCCCAGCTAAGCAGCTGCAGTTTGGGATTTCCCCCCAGTCCACAGGTGCGGTGCAATGGCAGCATCCGCACAGCACCGCAGGGGCCCGTTTGCACTGAGGCGGCTGTGCTGCCCTTGCAGCCCGAGGGCTGTATCGGTCGTGTGCGTGCTTTGCAATAAATAAACCATCCAAACTCTGCCCCTGCAATGGCACGATGACAGCAGGAACAGGTATGCTGGAGTCAGCATGAGCATCCCTTCCCGACGCTGTATGGCAGGTCTTACACCTCCCCGTGCATGTCCCGGGCCACCTCCTCTCTGCCGGGAGCCGGCTGCTCACCTGTGTGCCCCGTGAAGCTGCTGGTGACAGCATCTGCTGTCGATCACTCCTGATGCTCTGAACAGAAAAGCCTCGCTTAGCTCCTTATTCTTCATCCCAGGCACAAGAGACGCTTGTCAGAGATGCCACAGCGTGCAGCACTACGGAGCTGGGGATCTTTCCAGATGCCCTGGAATTAGTGTAGCGACTGTGCCACCTTGTGCCAGCAACATTTACAAATGCATTTTAGCCTCCCATCTCTTAGCTTTCAAAACCACGGTGCTCTCACTCTGCTTTTCTCTAACAAGGCCAACCAGGGCTTTGCATCTCCTCCTCGGCATGGTCCTTCGCTTCCTCTGGGTAAAGAGGGTGCGTCCTCAGCTGTGGCGAGGGAAGCGGCTGGCCTGCAGGCTCTGTGCTCCCGATCCAGCTCTGGTCTCCTCTCTGCCCGTTGCAAATCAGACAGTCCCACTGACTCCAGGTGATGCTGGTGTAAATGAGACACCCGCAATATGGCAAACTGGCACCATGGGCCTAATAATAATGAGGACATTTTACAACTGAACCACTTTAAGGGCTGTTTGGATTTTTTTTCCAAGTAAGTGTTTTTATACAGCCAGATGCAAAGTGGCCTACATGGGAAAAAAAAATACAGGACTTCACAAAAACCAGCCCGATCCCGACTCTGTATCCCGAAGCTCACTGGTTTAGGAAAGGATGCAGGGCTCACAGAGAGCGGACAACTGAGCAGAAACTTCAAGCTGCCAAATGCCTAAGCAGGAGAGAGCCAGAGGCAGGCGATTTTCCTCCTGTGCCTGCTGAGATGGAGGTGGGAGTCCCATGGCCAGGGAGGGGAATATGCGGAGAGGAGACCCCGGGGTGATTCTAGGCCTGCCAACTTTGATCTAGGGCTGAACGCTTTGCTGACACAGATTCACAGGGCTTATTCCCCTTAAACTTCCAAGAAGAAATCTGAGTGTAATACGGCTATAGTAAGCAGGTATCTACACAGAAGGTATGGCACACCATATAGTTCTTTAATCTGATGGAGAAAAGTAGGAAAATAACTAGTGGCTACAAGCTGAGGTCAGAAAACTTCTACCTAGAAGCCACGCTCACATCTTTATCCTGGAGGGCAATTAATTGCTGGGACATAACCCCATGGGATATGGCAGGTTGGTCACTGCTTCTGCCCAAGGGCAGCTGGACTTTGATGAAGCCTGAGGGCCTGTGCTTAACACACAGTGAACCTAATGTCCCTCATTGCCTGCAGGCCGCAGGAGATGGTCCAACGGCATAAAACTATGAATCCTCTTTGGGTTTACGTTTTAGAAATCCACGGATGCTATATGACACTGTCACGCTAATGCAAGCTGTGTCTATCCCAAATGTCCGTGCACAGGAGCTTGGACTGGCCAGAGGGCACCTGCTGGGCTGGCCAGAGAAGAGACAGGAGACCTTTCAGCAAGGGAAAGCTGTGCGGTGCATGGGCAACTGCCAGGTGTTCCCATCACCTGCAGCAGCACATGGGCTCAGAAATAAGCCTGTGGGCACACACATCTGTCTCTACTCCATATCATACACAAGGGATTTGAATTCCCTTTTGTAAAGACCTTTTGTTTAAAGCTTGGCCCTCCTGGGCCACCCGGGAAGCCAATGGCAAGACTCGCTCAGTGACAAAGGGGTCAAACACGTATAGGACAAGGGCAAAGATACATTTAGGCAAGGCACAACCGTAAGTCAGGGTTTATTCCCAGTATCATCCTGCTCTGCTGGAAGATCCTGGGTATCAAAGCTGATGAAGTAGGACCTCAGCAGAGCTCCACACCCTCTGCACAACAGGCTGTTTGCAACATATTAAGGGCATTTTCAGATGAAACACATGGAAAAACATTTTTAAAAATAAAAGCAGACCAAGATACCTCACACCTTCCCTCTTCTCCCATGGGCTTTTCACCGCGCCTCACAGGGACCCAAGAGTACCAAAGCAATGCCACTGGCAGCAAACAGCAGCGGGAAGGACAGGGGGACGAACGGGAGGAGCCGAACGGGCAGCCATGCATTACGCCCTTCCCTTGCCTTGCACATTCCCCAGGGTCCTGGCAAAGGAGTAGGAGAGGGGAGAACAGCAAAGGTGTGCTCAGAACAAAAACAGATCAAGACAAGGAAACCAAATTAAAATAATACAGCCTCCGACGCTCAAGCATTGCACAAAAGGAGGATCAGAAGTAAGCTGGGCTCTAAAAGGCAGAGATGACACCGAAACAGGGTGAGAGCGAGAATACAGGAGGGCAGAGAGTAAAAGTTGATCCATCTACAGGAGGAGGAGAAAAGGAGGGAGGGGAAGGAGGAGAAAGAGGGTTATATTTTCTGGATTTGGGGTTTGGAGACTTGATTCTGATAATGTTTCTTTTTTCATTTTTTTCATAAAGGATCTCACACCTGATATTCCTCGTTCCATCCATTTCGGTTCACCAAGGGCAATGAAGAAATTCTCCTGCCTTTCGTATTCCTCCTCATCTACTATCTTAACCCTTACGGTCTTCCTGTAGGGACAACAAGAGAGACAACCATGTACAGTGGGTCAGCCGGCCAGAGGCGAGGCGGCG